ATATTTTTGATTGTCCAGCTAATTTCTTTCTATTTTTTTTTTTTTAGTAGAGACAGGGTCTCATTCTTGCTCAGGCTGGTCTCGAACTCCTGAGCTCAAGTGATCCACCCGCCTTGGCCTCCCAGAGTGCTAGGATTATAGGCATGAACCAGCTTTTTGAAATTTATTACTGTTTTCCTCTTCATTCTTGTGGAACTTCTTAGGACAGTGCATTTTTGGACAACATTTCAAGAATAAAAGAGGCAGTCATTAAATGAAAATTATTAGTTTGTGCTGTCACACTATACACAGTATATCTGAATTCAGAACATTCCTAAACACAAGGCAGAACACCATTCTTAAAGCCATGCTTTGCCTTTAACAGAAATATTTATAAGACAGGGAAAGACACAAGCCTGGAGGTTAATGGTGCCTTGATTAGTGGAGGCTTGGAGACACTTGTATTTTAAATTATCCGTTTGTTTTGTTCCATGGAAATTTTTCCAACCTGGGGCAATGCACTCTAATAATATTTGGGATGGGTGAGAGGTATGGGTTTCTTTTGAAAAGTGGAACAATGGGGACTCAGAGAAAGCAGGCAGATTTTTAAGAAAGCACACAAAGGGAAGTTGAAGATACAGAAATTGATTTCTTAAAACTTGTCTTGCTCAAGTATCCCCTGGAAAGCCTTAGTGCACCTTTAGTAATACATACCCCAGATTGAACACTGCCTACTTGAAATGACTGTTCCTCTCTCCTGCCTAGCTCCTGTCCTCCCACAAGGACAGAAGCCAGCTTCTTTCTGCCACCCAGGATTGCCCTTGGGTCTGTTACACTGTTCTGAGTCCAAACCCATGAGAAGATTAATTCCTTTCTCACACTATTGCCTACCTTTCAGGCCCTGTTTCCTGGTGCATACAGTATTTGGCTCTTACCAGGATACTTGCCATTAGCAGTGTTTGTACCTTTCAATGGAGACCCTACCCACAGGTTAGTTATATCCAAATACAGCTGTATGTCACATACCATTTGGGGACAACAACAAACCACATATAGGATATCATGATGTCATAGTGCAGTGCGTGACTCACGTGTTTGTGGTGATGCTGATGTAAGCAGCCACACACTGCCAGTTGTATAGAAGTATAGCACATATAATTATATATGGTACATAATACTTGATAATAAATGACTATGTTGCTGGTTTATGTATTTACTTTTTATCATTGTTCTGGAGTGTAGTTTACTTACTGAAAAAGCAAAGCAGCCTCCAGCAGGTCCTTCAGGAAGTATTTCAGAAGAAGGCATTATTGTCACAGGAGATGGCAACTCCATGTGTATTATTGTCCCTGAAGACCTTCCAGTAGGACAAGATGTGAAGGTGGAATACAGTGATACTGATGATCCTGACCATGTGTGGGCCTATGATAATGTGATGTTTGTGTCTCAGTTTCTAACAAGAGGTTCAAAAAGTAAAAATTTAAAAAAATGGGAAAAACTTACAGAATAAGGATATGCAGAAACTATTTTTGTACATTTGTACAATGTTTTAAGCTAAGTGTTAAGACAAAAGAGTCAAAAAGTTTTTAAAAATTAAAAAGTTTATAAAGCAAAAAAGTTACAGTAAGCTAAGTTTCATTTATTATTGGAGAAAGAAAATTTTTTAAATAAATTTAGTGTAGCCTAAGCATACAGTATTACAAGTCTACAGTGGTGTACCAACATGTCCTAGGCCTTCACATTCATTCCCCACTCACTCACTGACTTACCCCAGAGCAACTCCTAGGCCTGCAAGCTTATTCGTATTTTCACTATACCTTTTCTATGTTTAGAGACTCAAATACCATGTTGTGACAGTTGCCTACAGTATTCAGTACAGTAACATGCTGTACATGTTTGTAGCATAGGAGCAATAGGCTATACCATGTAAGTTTGTCTAAGTGCACTCTGTGATGTTCACACAATGATGAAATCACCTAGTGACACATTTCTCAGAATTTATTCCTGCCATTAAATAATGTATGACCGTATAAGAAGTGTACAATAGGTAAGGTAGTGGTGGTAAAGGAGAAGTTTCTTTTATCTGTGCCTGTCAAGTTATAAAAATATCACTTTTAATGTTCAAAGTCTGGATGATTATGTCAGCATTGCATATGTAACACATAGCTGTATGGGACAGGTACAACTGGCTAGCTTAATCTTACTGACTTTTGATTGCAATGGCAATAATACTAGAAGTCTGTCTTGGAATTTTTAGGATGTTATTAATATTTCCTGATCTTTTGTGAGCAACTGCTGAAATAAGAACACAAAAATCTCTGTATAAATAGTAAAACCTAAGGCTATACATAAAAAATAAATACTTCTCTGAAAGAAATAATTCACAGAAATTTATTTCTATCTAGAAGATGTGAACCTTAACTTATCCCACAGAATCATTTGTCCTTTGAATTGCTGTTCCATTTATAGTCCCCGTTTTACATTTGTATAGCTAAATATCCTATTCGGGTCCTTTTTTCCTTAAGGAACAGCCTGTATATAAAACAGAATTTTGTTGCCTGCTTTGGAATGAGGGTCTTTGTAGTTTGTGGTATTCACGTCAAAGTTTTAAACATACTAAGGATGTTTCAGCCAATCTTATTCAAGACAAAGTACAACCTTTTCAACAGTGCACAATTGGGAAATCTCCCAAGTTCACATACGTCCCGATAGTGGGAATTCAGCCCTGAGATAATGGTAAAGGAAAGTCTACTTTCCCTTTGAACATCGTGCTCCTGGGATCACTGCCTTTTCCTGATGCATTTGGTAACTGAGCTTTTGGCCAAGTACTTACCGAGTCTCACCTTGGCCACTCCATTACTTACGTAATGATTCTGCTCAGTCATTTCTGAGTTTTGTAAACTGCTGATGTGAGTTTACCCTCCCAAACTACAATTTAGGTTGTTTCTTTGTTCTTACATTGTCATTCTGGTCTTCAGATTTTTCCCTTCTTCCTCTCACCTGCAGTTTGGCCTTGCCTATTTAGAGAAGTCCTTGTGAATGTTGGTCTTGCTTCTTGGCCACTGGCAGCTTCTGCTTTTGAAAACTCCCTTCAGTAGACTGCCAAGGCATCTCTATGAGGTATCCAGCTATTCTACATTTTAGAATGAAATGAGTATGACAGAAGCAACTAATTGTTCACCAGTATTAAATAAAGTTTCCTGTGCAATTTCTGAAGTTTCCTCAAAGGCGGGGTGGGGGGGGTGTTATTGCTCATCTTCCCTTTCTCATCTTGCTGTCTGATCTGCAGATGTAGTGGCTAGAACTTGAGCAGTAACTTTAAAACCACAAAGGGGAAGGCACATATTGAGGATGGCAGAGCAAAAAAATAGAACCATAGGTACCTAATGGTCATGCTTCTAGACTGCCTATGTTTGTGTGAGAGAATAAACTTCTGAATCATTTAAGCCATTGTTAAATTTTGAATTTTCTGTCATTAACAGCTGAGCCTAATCCTAACTGATATAGATACAAAAAAGTTAAACTTTTTCCAAATAAGAAGCACGTAAAGCGGGTCTCATGGATTTTATGGTACAGCAGTGACAGAAGAAAAACTTAATCTCCACTCTAAAAATTTTAATGCTCAGATTCACCATTGCCATTTCATCTCTTATCTACGACTCCCCCCTCTCTCCTCACCGCCCTCCTGCCCTGGGATCTATTGTGGTAAAAAGGTTCATTTTTCTACTTTCACAAGGTTTCCATTGTCCGTCTTCTGTCTTTGAAACTGTCATACTTCCGATAGGTGGTAATGTGCCAGGATTTATGGGAGGCTACAGGATAAGCATCTTTCTGGAGCATCGAAGATTTTAGGGGGAACCTTAATTTTTATACTAACAAATATGGAAGGGAGGGCAAAATTTACATGCATTTTTAAAATACAAAATAAAGGAAACCTTTTAAAATGTTTATTATGGAGTTGAACTGCATGAGTCCATTTCTTTAGATCCAGAAAGGTAATGAGTTTGCTCTTTTCTACCTCTCCTTTTCCCTAGAGATACTAGATGGAAACTTGAGAAGCACTGCCTACTTGATAAGAGCTGAGGCATTCCTGGCAGCAGAGTGATTAAAGCTCATGGCCCACCAGCTAGAAAGGTAAGCGATTTTAAGCTAACATAAAAGTATTCTTTTTATAAGAATTTATCTTATAAGATACAAGATATCCCTCAAATATTATGATTTCATGATTATCTCTCAAATATTACTGAATTCAGCAAACATTTAAAGATAGTAGTCCTTAGAATACTAATGTCCTAGTAAAAAATACTAACATTTAGTAAAAAAAAGATTCTGAGGTTCAGCAAATTTGGAATGTCCTTGTGTAAATAGAATGCGTATCAGCATATAAAAGCACACTAAAGACTTATGTTAAAGTGTTTAATTTTAACTTACAGGTTCCTAAACTTATCTGAGTAGGGACACCTCTTTAGCAAAGAGTCCCAATTTAAAGGTCCTAATTCTCCTAGGATTTTATAAGGATAGTAATGGAAGGAGTTAATCTGTGAGGTATTTTCTACGTTTCAAAAATATTTTGAGCAAAAAGTTTACCCGTTCTGTGGCTGTACATGCTAACTAAAATGTCAAATTTATTTGCTTTTGGATTGAATTATATGAACTAAATTTGTTACCGTGATTGTCTCACGCTGATCAGAAACATTGATTGCAAGTGGTACAGTCCCTCAAACATGACTTAATTGAACATCTACTATGTGCCAGCCACAGAATGATGATACTACAGATACAAAGTAGAATAGTTTTTCATCTCAAGCCACTTATAGTTTGGGGATGTGGCTTCTAAACATGGAAGGAAAATATCAATTTAATAAGTATAGTCTAGCATACAAAATCTTTCAAATCATGGTGATCTAGTAATAGACTTCGTCAGATAATATCAAGATGCATAAGCAAATTGGCTTGTTCTGTTGTACCTGGATGTGGACATTGGGATCAAAAGAGAAACTATGCATAAATGCACAATTTGACAAAAATTTGGAAAATAATTTAAATGTACATCATACCTATTTGAAAAGTAAAAAATTTTAAAGCAAGTATCAAGAGGAAAGGGTGGTAACATTTGATAATTTCTTCTTGCACATTGATACGTGCATTAGATAATTTTGAGCTACTTGACTAGCTTACATGATCAGGTTTACTGTTTTGATTAGATATATTCTCCATACATAGAAGCCACATGAGGGCAGACACTGTGTATCATTGTACCCTGGAATCTAGCATAATTCTTACCCTATTGCATGTGCTCAATAATATTTATTGACTGAATGACTAAATGAGAGATCTGAATTTCAGGTTAGGGGAGTAGTGGATGGAAGGCTATCAGAAGTGAGCCGTATTAACTAAGAAGGGGATGGATGAGTGGGAAATGGATGACATGAGGGAGGGAGCTGATTAAAAGCCTGCATAACTAAATCCAGAGATTAAGGAAGGGGTAGCATAAGACTGAGGTGGGAGGTAGTGATAGTCCATGCAGGAGTCTGGAAACAATGTTAAGGATTTGAGGTTTTATCCTAAGAACATTTTTCTTTATAACTGGTCCATTCCTCTTGTTTTGACTAGCACTGCTTGAGTTTAGATCATCATTCCTTATCTTGAACTTAGCAGTAGCGTATGTTGGTTTTCTTATGCATTATATTGCCCTCTCTTAATTTATCCTCCACACTTCTATCACTGATCTTGCAAAAATGCTCCTCTGATTATCTAGTTCACCTACTTAAAATCTTCCAATTTCTTAGAGTGGGGTTAGGCAACCTTTTTCTTTAAAGGAGGTTTGATAGTAAATATTTTAGGCCTTATGGGGATCATATAGAGTCTCTGTTGCATATTCTTCTTTGTATGACCCCCAACCATTAAAAATGCATAAAACTTATTTAGCCGACAATTTGGCCCAGGGCCATAGTTTTATAACCTCAGGGGAGGGAAGGGGAGGGGGGTGAGGATGGAATCCAATTCCTTACCATGGTATTAAAGGCCTTTCAAGATTTGCTTACCTCTCTGGCCTTACCTCTCTTCTCTTAACCTTACATATGCTTCAACCATTAGAAGTTCTTAGAAATTCCTCATTGTTCTCTGCTTTATTGTGCCTTAACATGCTGTCTCCTTTTTCTGAAATATCCCTGACTGGCTAATGCCTCTTACTTTGAGAAGACTCAGCTCAGGCATTACCTCCTTCAGTAGCCTTTACAGGCCCTCTCTAGGGTTGGCTAGGTCCTTAGGGAACAGAAATTCAATCAGGTAAATTCAAGTGAAAAGAGGGTAAGGGGGCTTATATTAAGGATACTGGAGACTCTGGTGGACCCAATCACAGAAAGCACAGTTGGTCATCACAGAAACTAATTTTCATCCTCTTGACTGCATGGTTTCTCATCTCTATTTTTCTCTGCCTTCTCGATTCAGGCCTTCATTAATTCCTTATCAGTATGAACGTGACAGAAAGTGTCTACCAGTCCTAAGTATGATTTTAAATCTCTGGTACCCACCCCTGTTTGACTGATTTATTTTTCTTTTTATAAATTTCCTGAAGAGGTAGTTTGATTTGGCTTAACTTGGTCAGGTATCGCTTCTGGTTCACCTGAGGCAGGTATGTCAAAGTCATGGATGTGTAAGATTTCCCTTCACTGTTGGCAGGGTAGCTCAGGCTCTCTAAGAGGAGAATATGGGTGCTTTGGAGAGATGACCAACTCCATTATGCTCCTTATGGTCCCATAGTGTCTGTGTCTGTCTTTATTATTACATATATCAGTGAATAATTATTATTTTCACTTTTTTTGTCTTCATTACTACTCTAATTTTAAGGGCAGGGACTATGTCTCTTATTCTTAACATGGTATTGGATACAAAATAGGCAGTCAGATGTTTTCCAAATAAGTTTCATAAAATAAATGATTTGTATTGGAAATGTTTAGGAATGCTGTATGTTGTATGTAGTAGTGTTATCCATTTTTAGAAATTTGCTTTGAAACTTGAGTACATACTTAAAAGGTATCAGTTTGCAACCTTTATAGTTCTATAACCAACTAACTAGAAGATCAGTCACATTCACCTCTTAGAATCTAGAGATTTGTAAAGTTAGTCACCAGAAATTGATTCACCCCCTCCCATTTTTGTAGATTCATTTACCAGCACTATTTTCTTTGAAGTGAGTTGGTTTCCTTCTTTCTTGTTTTTGATAGAGATGTAGGAAAAGGAAATATTTTATCAGCTGAATCACTTGAATGAAAGAATTCAGAATAGCATAGGAATATTGATACTACAGCCTACAGACTTAACCCACGTCATATTTAAAAAAAGGAACAAGGGAGCTGTCTAATAGGACAAAGGATTATCTAATATCAACTCTTGAGTCTTTATGCAGATTTGTAAATTGTTCTACTGTAGTATGATTCTCTTTGTTCTTAACATTGCAGTACAGAATGTAGTTTTTCTATTCTTTAACATATAAACATGAAAATTATAAATCAGAAACAAGCATAGAATTGTTAAAGAATCAGCATATTTTGTAGCATTTTTCTCATCTTATGACTACTACTACTACTACTACATGATGCTAATTATATAATGATTATACAGTAGTCCCCCCTTATCCAAGGGTGATATGTTCCAAGACACCCCCAGCAGATGCCTAAAACCTCAGCTAGTACTGAACCCTATATATGCTATGTTTTTTCCTGTATAGTAACAGGTGGGTAATGTATACAGCATAGATTTAATATTTTTGGACTGCAGGTAACTGAAACATTGGAAAGTGATGCCATGGATAAGGGGGGACTACTGTATAGTGAACTATAGTGCATATTATTTATACACAACTTAAACTCCTTCTACACATTTTTCCTTTTTTCTTTTTATTTTTTTTAGTTCAAAACTGTTTAATAATAAGTTGCCAGTATGATGCTCCATTACTCCCAAGACATTCTCCTACAAAACCACAATACAACCATGAAAGTCAGGTAGTTAACACTGATATATTGCTACCATCTACTCTGCAGGTTACATTTTAGTTTTGTCAATTGTTCCGGTAATGTCCTTTATAGCAAAAGGATTCAATCTAGAATCTCATCTTGCAGTTATTTGTTCTATCTCATTGGCCTTTTTAAATTGGAAATAGTTCCTTAGTCTCTCCTTGATTTTAATGACTTGGACACTTGCAGATTATAGACCAATTATTTCCTCAATTTGGAGTTTTGTAGTATTTCTTCATGATTAGATTCAGGTTCTGTATCTTTGGCACAACTATAATAGAAGTGATGCTGTGTCTTATTGTTATTCTGTGAAGAGCACATGATTTTGATTTTCCTTATTTCTGGTGGGGTTAACTGGAATCACTTGAGTAAGGTGATGTTTGCCAGACTTTTGTACTGTAAATTACTCTTTTGCCCTTAATAATTAAGCTATATTTTATAGGGAGATACTTTGAGTCAATGTGAATGTCCTTTTCCTTATCAAACATTCAGTTTTTTTATCCTTTTATGTCAGCATGGGTTAATGGAACCATATTTTATTCACAGCATGATCCATTACTATCATTATTTATTTCGATTCTCAAATTGTCCCAGAAAGTGGCCAAATCTATAAGTCCTTTCTTACTTTCTGGCACAAAATATTCAAAGTCTATCCTGTACTTCCCTGCCCCAGCCCTGGAATCAGCCAGTTCTTCAAGGAGTCCAGATCCATTTTGAGAAAGGCTGGTGTGTAGACGTTAAGATCTGGATGCTAAGTGTGTTCATTGTTATTAGGGTTTCAGTGTTCCCAGGCCCTCTCAGTGGACACAGATAGGGAAGTATATGAATATATGTACATACATATACACACATTAACATCTGTATTTCTGTATCTTTATATTGAAAGCCAGAAGTTCACACCAATATCTCCAAGTACCAAGGTTCATTCTATTTTTATAATTCCCTTCACTACAGTGTCAATTCACTTTCACCCAGCACATCCTTGATAAATTTACTTATTTGATCAATCCCCATGTATGTATATAATGAATTGCCTGTTGCCACCAGGCCTGCTCTTCCCCATCAAGTAAATGTCCTCTTGCTTGGGTCCTGACACCCTCTCTGGACTAGTGCCAATCC